CACAGGTCCCGTACACCGACTGCTCCACAACCAAAGGCGTTCTCAGCCTGGACCCCTACATTCTCCGCTTCAACAACGGAACACCGGGGGACATATATGGGAACAGCGGTATGTCAATCCATACTATATTTTGACGGACTAAACAGCTCGGCAGAAAGATACAACTACGACGCAAGTCAAGCATTTAATTACAGCACCTTCCCGGTCTCTCGGTGCGCTTGTTTTTGGTGCCCTCACCTGCAGCTCACGCTACGGCTTTCAACAGCTTCGTGAATGAATTTGGGTAATTAAATTTGTCGAACAACGACACGGATGCGCCTTACGAGACACCACCAGGTTCCACTCCATGCCGTCGTTCTACAGCTGGGAAGAAGTTCTCGAATCTCCCGAGAATTTCTCGTTCAACTCGACTGTCGTCGCCTCACGAGATCACCACCCGCCTGCTGGAAGTCTCGCGTTCCCAAATCCCAACGCACCCCAAGGCCAGGCACAGATGACTCAGGGTGTCGAGTTATGGCTCCCCACGCCGTCGACGTCCGATTCCAACCAAACCTTCGCGCAATGGTGCTGGAGCACGCAGATCTTCCAATCCATGACGATGGTGTCGCAGATCGCGTGGTACCGGCGCGGCGCGGGACAGGGCGAAAACAACCTCGGCGCGCTCGTATGGCAACTTAACGACATCTGGCAGGGCGTCAGCTGGAGCGCCATCGAATATTCCGGGAGGTGGAAAGTCCTGCAGTATGGGCTAACCACTGTGTTTTCACCGGTCACGATCTATCCGTTCTGGACACCGGACAATCAAACGCTGGAGGTAATCGTTACTTCTGATCGCTGGGACGTTGTGGAAGGGTCTGCCCAGCTCACTTGGTACGACTGGAGCGGAAACATGCTGAACACGAGCGCCCATGCGTTCAGCGTCCCCACGCTCAACAATTCGTTGATTTCGAGGACTTTAGGGCTTGATTCGATTCTTCCTGCAGGGCAAAACGCCACGGATGTTTGGATGCTTCTCAACCTGACCGCCCAGGTCGACAATAAGACTGTCACCAACGAACAATACGTGCGTTATTCAATACCGGACAGGTCGATTTGAACTGAAGTTTGTCTCGCAGTTCACGCCTGTGTCGCTGGTAAATGCGTCCCTCGTGGACCCGCAGATCCAGATCAGCTCCAGCGAAAATTTGACTTTCGCTTTGTCTGCCAAGGGCGGCGTGGCGCCATGGACATGGCTGGATCACCCCGCAGGCACAGTCGGAGTGTTTGTTGACAACACGACGGGTCTGCCTTCGAATGGTTTCTACCTCGTTCCCGGCATCGATCGTACATGTTAGTAGTCTCCTCCCTTCGATGTTTTCGTCACTTACGCGTGAGCTTTTTCAGTGAAATTCCTTCTGAACGAACAATTGTCCAGCAACGCTAATCCTGATCCGCGGACTTTGTCCTGCGATCCCTGTGGAATAACACACATTTGTGACGTGCTGTATGTATGAAGTTTTGACAAATAACTTGTTCCGCAATCTTCTATATTTTCAAGTGGCCACCCACGCTCGAGGCGGGTCTCACCCAGCTTGTTCACATTCGTCGGAATCGAACTCCCGAGTGAGCACCAATGACCGCAGAGGAAGAATTTATAGGTGACCTATGTCGTAGAGCCTTCTTCAACATGCTCCTGAGTGCCCGGTGAGCCCCGGCGAGCTCCAATATGCTGAACGAGTGAGTTGAAACGCGTACGGGCTGAAGACACCGCGAGTTGCAACTCATGTAATTCCATCCCGGGTCGCTTGATTATTTTTCATACTCTAGTAATCCTACGTACACGTCAGCATGAGATGCTGTACATCCGAAGGGAATCGGAGCAAATTGAGAAGAAGTGGCGAGCGGGTTTCAACAACGAATCAAACACTCCGTTTAATATAACCCCACCGGTCGAGTCGGGTTACGGGTATCGAGTCATGATTTCTGATTCAATTCAAACAGAGCTCTATTCATATTCTTACCTATTCTTACCTTTTTTTTCACTGCGAGGCTTCCTATGCCCGCATCCGCGCGCGGGATCATCGGGATGGGTGATACCTCCGACGGTCTGTAAGCGGTCGCCGGATCCAAATGACGGGCCCATCACCGCCATACATTTGCCAAACATATAAAGCAGTCCAGAGCCTTTTCTCCTTCTACCACCATCATGTTTTCCCTTACCTGCTTCGCGCTCTTGGCCTTCACGCTCTCCGCTGCAGCTCGGTCGCATGGCATGCAAAGCAGAGCTGCCGCCGCCTTCATGTGCGTTGTCTTTTCTCCAGTCCCGCAGCTAAGGCTCAACCCACCCACCCAGTGCTGGGCAGCTCGCCAGCGGCGACAGTACACGGGGTGCGTGCACTGGGCGCGAACGGTCGGGATATAGGCCTAATTCCTTCTCACAGATGCCGGGTTCTGCCTCACCGCCGAGTCCAACGAGGACGGTGCCGCGGTAGCCATCGGCCTTTGCGGCGACTTGAATCCCTCGTTTCCCGTATGTGATCTCCTCCCCATCCCGCATCATTCATGCCGAACCTCGCATGACCCAGAACGGCAATACCACCTGGGTTGTCCCCGTCGCTCCTCTCACGGGTTCGATCGCAACTTTCAGCGGCGAAAAATGCCTCGACGTCACGAACGGTACGCAGTATCACACGGCACGGTACAGCTCATGAACGTCGGCTCCCAGGAAACGCGGTAAATGGCCAAACACTCCAGATATGGACCTGCACCCCGGGGAACACAAACCAAATGTTCCTCGTCTCAAACAGCGCAAACAACGCGCAGATCCAATGGCTGGGCACGGATTTCTGCGTCGACCTCACTGGAGGGAACACGACACCGGGCACTCCAGTATGTCGTCCTCATAATCTTCTATTCTCTTCCTCCTCCATGCTTGAGCGGCGCACTGACCTGCTGTGATGCACAGATTCAAATCTGGGAATGCGCCGTCCCCGCGAACTCCAACCTTAATCAGGAATGGGTCATCTCATCTCCCAATTGAGGGTCTTATAAACAGATGCTCCAATGTCCAGGATGGAAAGGCAGTAGCCTGTCGACTCCACGAGATGTATAATTGGACTCGAATGGTAATATAGAACTTTCTCCACTGCCACGACGCGTCTTGGAGTCTGAGCGAGGGTTCGGTGGTAATACTCCCCGCTACCAATGAAGCCTCCTCGGTACAAATGAGCCAGGGCTCTAGGGTATCTATTTATGCTGAAGCATACGCTCGACGTCACCGAACCACTCGCGCAACTCTCTGCCCCACCCACCAAGCGCTTACGCATTTTTTGCCCTTCGACGTCACTGCCAATCCCAAGTCCAATCCGGGCCATCCGGGCGGTCTCGCGTTCGCGAACGATTCTGTGCCATGTGATGCACCACCAGACGATGCTTTCTTTCGAGAAAAACACGTTTGAGATCGTCTCGTAACAGCCCGGGCTGCACGGCGCTTCCAACCTCAGCAGGCGCAGAAAGGTGCGCCAGATAAGTCGAGGAAGGTAGAGCGCCAACGGGGGGTCGAGCCCTAGGTTAGATAACTGGGGTCAGCGGCCTCGTTTCAAGAAAATGGGGGAAAAGGTGCAAGTACAGATCTCATCCGTCGAGTTGTCCTCGACGATCGTGCCGATTCTGCGTCCGTAGTTGCCGTCCACAACCCAGCCATTGGGGCAATCGGCGAGCTTCTGCTCCAGTCTAGCACGCATCTCGTCTTTGGGCGACTTCTCCCAGCCGGGCTTCCAACAGAGCGCGTCGAGCGAGATGAACGGCAGCCCAAGGACGTCCGCGAGCCGCTTCCCGACTGTACTCTGAAGTCGCCGAAAGATGGATAGCATACTTTTGCCTGGAGTACAAAGGGGCATGAAATACTTTCCTTGCCCGCTCCTGCCGTCGCGTCCATACAGCAAATATGATGAGTTTCATTCAGACAGAGGCTTACCACAGTTCCCAACGATGTGGACTCTGTAGTTTCCGTGCGCATCGCCGAGTAACGGTGGTGGTGCCATGTAAAGCTGCGTTTACCTTCGAGTCATGGTGGCGGGAGAAAAAAAGGCGACTTCGGCTAGATTCGGCTCCGAGCGTCGGCAGTCCCGGTCCGATCGTTCGCCGTTGTTAAGTGAACCGAACGGCGAAAAATCTTCGATACGGCTCCAGAGTTCCATCCAAACAGAGAAAGCAATTGCAAGCGAATCCGGTGAGGCCTCTCAAGATGTATTCAATTCGGGTGCAGTCGGCCCGGGCACGAGAGGCGCAGCGGCAGGACTCAAATACTCTGGGTTGAAATTTAACTGTACTGCTGCCCGGACTCGGAGAAGGCGGGACTTTTTTGTTGAAACTGACGAAGGGTAAAAAAATGAAGGTAAAATCAAACCGAAGCCAGGCGATAAAACCAAGACAGTCTAACCCGATGCGGGTGCCGGGAGTCGAACCCGGTTCTGCTGTTTACAGATTTATATTGGGTTTACGCAGCGCTATTGGGGACAGCGGTGATCCATACACCACACCCACTTCCTGGCCAACTGCGTGCCCAGTACTTACACTCTACGAACGATCACAGTGCTTGTGCACAAGAGGCCCTGGAGTCGGATACCCTGGGTGATTTAAATTTCGGAGAATGCTGTGGTTTTGTGTCGGAGCTGGCACAGCATCAGAAAATGAAGGCAAACTGAAGCCGAGAGCCCCAGCTACTAGAAAAATCAAGACAACACCAACGGATGCGGGTGCCAGGAGTCGAACCCGGTTCTGCTGTTTAATCACAACAACAGGATTTAACCCAATACAGTGATCAACCATCCATCACACCCGCTTACATGACAATCCGAGTACGTAGTAGTCTGCACAATTATTCGTGACGATAAATCGGCACAAGAGAGGAATCAGAATGCCCTGGGTTGAATTTCGACTGTCCTCCTCCACAGGATTCTTGTGGGTTTGTGTTAGCCGGCGCAGCGTAAAAAAATAAAATGATATATATCTTGACGACATGCGGGTGCCGGGACTCGAACCCGGACCTGCTGTTTCATTCTAATGGATGGAAAACTTATTATCCGAGACAGCGGTGAACCATACACCACACCCGCTTATATGGCTTTCTGCGGGGCCAGTACTTATGCTCTCTCCTCCGACAAGCCAGCTGTCACGGTCCTGTACAAAAGACAATTCTTGTGTAATCGGCGCAGAAATCAGAATACCCTAGGTTGAAATTTAACTGTACCCCCTCCTGCCCGAACTTGGAGAAGGCTGAAACTCTCGCATCGGAGTTGGGAAGCGTAAGAAAATGAAGGCAAAATAAGAATACCTATATGACCATGCGGGAGCCGGGAGTCGAACTCAGTTCTGCTGTTGAACTGAACTATCCCATTCTTATTGCCGACAGCAGTGAACCATACACCACACCCGCTTCTATGGCTGTCTGCAGGGCCAGTATCTACTTACACTCTTTCGTCAGATATGACCACCTACACAATTCTTGTGTAATCCGTGCAAAAATCAGAATACCCTGGTTTGAAGTTTGATACGGACTCGGAGAAGCCTGGACTTTTCGCGTCGAGGCTGGGGAAGCGTAAAAAAAGAAGGCACAATAAAAACATTCAACTGCGAAGGCCATGCGGGTGCCGGGAGTCGGACCCGGTTCTGCTGTTTACGCCTGAGAATTTGGTCATTGCCGATAGCAGTGAACCACTACACCACGCCCGCTCAATGTCCGCAGGTCTCGTAACAACTCCAACAGTGTGAATAGAAGATAGAAGGCTGGCTTTTGAACAATCGTGGGATTGTTGGTTGATCTCGGCTAATGTCGGACTAAGGCAAGAGTGAGCTTCAAAAGAGTACGAAATCGAAGAAACCTGGAATTAGGTACGGTTCGAAGCGACGAAGCATGGGTTTACAAAGCACGTATTATTCGGTAAAAAAACTTACTGTACGCACTGTTCGAGCACACGCGGATGCCGGGGGCCGAACCCGGTTCTGCCGTTTCAACTTTAGATGACACCTAATGGAAGACAGCGGTGAGCCATTCACTGCACCCGCTTGTATATGGATAGGTAGGCATAGGCAGAACTACACGAGATAGGAATCCCTCGAAGTTCAACTCGAGTTCAACCTCCATGGAGGATCGATCAGCTGACCAAGAAATTGCTCCCACGCGGACTTGGCGTGCCGTCTTTACATTCTCGCTGTCCACTCTATGGAATCGACTGTCGCGCGGCCGCTGCTGGCGCTCACGACGTCCACCTCGCACTCCAGCCTCCGCCGCCGCCAACGTCGAGCACGCCTCATCCTCCTCGCCGCCGCCGGTGCCCTCGTCCTCCTCGTCGGCTCGACGTACCTCTACTTCGGCCCCCGCGCGGGCTTCCCTGTCTCGGAGTGGGCCCCGCATTATCCGCATCCACCACCTGGCAACGGACATCCCCCAGAGCACGCAGGCGGGTGGTATCCGAATTCCCCAGCCCCCTCGACGTCCGATGCAGACACAGACGCAAGGAGACTGCAAGCCCTCGCCTCCGCGTCCGTCGCCGCCTTCCGCGCGCGCGACGCCCCCTCCCTCGCCTCCGCGCGCGCGCTCTACGCGCTCAAGACCGGGCGCGCCCCGCCCCGCGCCTACGATGCGTTTTGGGCGTTTGCGAAGGAGAGGGGGTGCGTGGCGGCGGGGTACGACGGCGTGCAGCGCGACTTTGCGCCGTTTTGGAGGGCGGTGAGGAGGGGTGGGCGGGGGTGGTTTCGGGAAAGGGTGGGGGGGATGGTGGAGAAGGTGTGTTTCCGTCGTTGCTTTGCTTTATGGAGTGCGGAATGCGGTTAACGGAGGAACGCGCAGCTCTCGGAAGAGCAACACGGCGTCGCGGCGCTCACCATCCGCGACGGTCGTGCACATAAACCAGAAAAGCAGGCGACGTATTTCGATGGGGACTGGGAGAATACGATCAATAAGGTGCGTCTTACGCCCTTTCGTACTGCTCTTCATTTCCTTACGCGTCCACCCACCCACTCGCAGTTCGCCGCCCACCTCCCACCCATGACCGTCCTCATCTCCGGCCGCGACGAGCCGCGCGTCGTCTTCGACGTCGGTCCGCTCTTCGAGGACCCCGCGCTATCATCACCATCTTCATCATCGTCATCCGGGATACAGGCCGATTCGGACGTGAACCCTCCACCTCACACCGCCCCCGCCCACCCCGACACCGACCCGGCCCTAACACTCACCGACCCGCACCCATTCGGCCTCGCCCCGCCCGATACCGGCGCGTTCTTCGCGAAGCGCGCGGCGTGCCGGCCGCGGAGGGGCGAGGGGGTGTTGGGGGATGTGCCGTGTGAGTTTTTTTTGTTGCGTTGTCTTGTCTTTCCTTTCCCTTGCCTTCTTCCGTTCCCTCCCTTCCTTCGCTCCCTCGCATCCCGTGTGTGTAACTGACATGCTTACGCGCGGCCCAGTCCTCCTCTCCGCCTCCTCCGCCGAGTTCACGACCGACCTCGTGCCCGTGCTTAGTATGACGAAACTCGCGGACGCCTCTGCGTCTCTTGAAGGAGGCGGAGGGGCGTCGTGTTTTGCGGATATATTGATGCCGGGGGAGGTGCGTTGCTTCTTTCCTTAATTCTGTTTCTGTTTCTGTTCTCTTGAGTTCGCGACGGGCCCGGTGTAGTAAACGCCCTCGCCGTACAACTCGAAATCGCACGCACGCAGTGCATCTACTATTTTTTTGATATACTCTGGCTGACGCACCGATTCCTCAACCACAGTTCTACTACCGCAACTCCTGGTGGGCGGGCAAGTTCGAGTACCCGAACGACGTAAAGTGGGAGGATAAGAAGGGGGTGTTGTGTGAGTGGTTTTTTTCTCTCCGTCTTCTTTCGATTCGGGTTTGATCTCGTTTCTCATTTCTGTTTCTTGCTTCTTTCGATTGGGTTTGGTTCCGTTTCCCGTTTCCTTTTGAGTTCGATTTGAGTTTCTTTCGATTCGCCGCTTCATCCATTTCCCTCACTAACCCCACCCCCAGACTGGCGCGGCAAATCCAACGGCGGACACATCCGCGGCACGAACTACCTTTCCTTCCCGCGCTTCCGGCTCATCGACCTCGCCGCGCTCCCCGAGAACAAGGCGAAGGGCCTGTTCGACGTGCGCATCACGCAGTGGCACGAGTGGCATTGTACTGGTGCGTGGGGCTCTCCTCCCTCTTCATCTATCCACTAGCTAACTACAAACCAATAACACAAACACCAACTATGAAACTTACAACGACGGCACACAAAGACAACTGCGACCCCGCCCCGATCCGCGCGGCGTACAACATAACAGGCGAGAGCGTGCCAAGGGAGGAGGCGTACGGGTACAAGTACCTCCTCGACGTCGACGGGAACACGTTCTCGGGACGGTATTTGGGGTTGTTGAGGAGTGGGGGGTTGGTTTTCAAGGTGCGTGGGCTGCGTTTTTTGGCCCACCTCCACTCGACTTTGGCATTTTACTTTTCTCGTCGTCCATTTTCTATCGTTTATTGACCTCTCGCTCGCTCGCAGTCCACAGCCTTCACGGAATTCTTCACGCCCTGGCTCGTCCCATACGAGCACTTTATCCCCGTGCGTCCCGACCTCGCGGATTTGGCGGAAAAGGTCGAGTGGGCGAGGGCGAATGATGAGGAGGTGCGTGTTTTGCGTTGTGTGGTTCTTTCTTTCTGCGTGGGCTTGAACGAGGCTGATGTTTTCTTTCCCGTTTCTTTCTTGCTTGCGTCCCAACTGAATCAACACCTGAACGATTCACCCGACCCGACCACTGCAATTAAAACCGAAACCGAAATCGAACCACCCGACGCGCGCAGTCCCACCGCATCCAAGAAACGGGGCGCCTCTTCGCGGAGCAGGTCCTCTGGTTTTTAAGGTGTGTTGCTTTTCTGTTTCTGTTCTTTGGTGAGTGCTTTCTCTTGTCCTTTTCTTCTTCTATTCTCTTCTCTTTGTACTCGTACGGTGATAATAAAATTTGTTCATTGAAACGGCATAATGGCATCCCGCGTTAAGTCGCAGACCGCGACAAGTCGCAGCCGCGACCGTAGTACCCCTCTTTATATACGGCTCGCGTGCACGCTTAGCAGACATCAAAAAGTACACAAAGATTCGCGACGCGGACAATTACGCCCCGCGGGGAGATTTTTTTGAATTGGGACCCACGTAAAGCCCGTTTGCGGTTCTATTCTATCCACTTACTGTCCGCGATGTTTCGGTAAGAGATCGTAGGTACAAAGTTGAACTAACCCTAACCTTAAAGGCCGGTCTTTGAACGAGTATAGTAAGTAAGTTGTATGAAAAGGACCAGCGCGTTGGAGAAGTTGAAGTGGAAGAGAATGGTGTAGGCCCTGATCGACGAGTTACGGAACCCAAGTGGAATGTAACTGTATATCGCCGGAAATAAATATGCGAGCTCCATGCATTTAGATCTCGCTTCTATAGTATAGTATCGTAATGATTCGACATTGCCGTAATAAGTATGTTGGCTACTGCATGAAAGAAATACTTCGGTGAACCCAAGTCAATTAAAGTAAGGTAGTGGTGTATCATCTGATTCAACAGAGCTTGTTGACGTGCCACTCGCGGGAAGCGCAAAGATCTTCAAATCGGTGCTTAACGGCATGTCAAACTTGGATCACACGACTTCAACCGTAACCATAGGATGCGTGGCCTACGGAGGGTATAGATTCAAGATCCGCAAGGTACCATAAGGGAAGGAGGCTAAGTAATACCGTACATTGTCTGCCACAGGAAAGAAAAACTGAGATCTTGGCAAACCAAGTCAATAGAAGTAAGGTAGTTGTATGGACGTTCCATATCGTCAACAGCGCAAAGACCTTCAAATCGGAAATGAGTGCTTAACGACATGTCAAGTACTTGAATCACACGACTTCAACCGTAACCACACATACAGAGGAAATCAGAGTAGATCTGCACAGCTAACAGTGCACGTTGTCTGCTAGGAAAGAAAAACTTGGATCTGGGCGAACCAACTCAAGGAAAGCAAGGTAGTTGTATGTACTTTCCATATCTGATTCAACAGAGCTTATTGATGTGCCGCTCTCGGGAACTTCAAAGAACTTCAAATCGGAAGTGGGTGCTTTACGGCACATCGAGCGACTTCAACCGTAACTATAGGACGCGTGGCCTTGTACATCTACGGAGGGAATCAGAGTATATGATTCAAGATCTGAAAGGTATCCCAAGGGAGGAATGGCTTATGGATTGAAAAATCTCACTCGGGGGAAGCCGAAAAAAACTTGAAATCAAAATCTACGTACAAGAAATGTGTGTTTCCCGCTCGCGGGAACGTCAAAGAAATCGAAATTAAAATGAATGCCTTACGGCATGTCAGTAGTGCGGAGCACGTCGTACACCCGTAACTATACGACGTGTGACCTTGTACACTTTCGGATTCCTGACTTGTGATGGATGTTATGGGAAGGAAGCCTGTAAATGAGAAATGGAAGGGCAAATGCCGCTCAGGGGAAGCCAAAATAACTTGAAATCAACAATGGCAGCCTTTATACACTCAGAGCTCCGGCGCCGCTTCGCGGCGCCTCCGCCAATTGCAACTAATGAAGATGAACTTCAGGTAGAGTTGGGAAGCAGTATCATTGCAGTCGTAAGCAGTATGTGCCTGCCGGCGGCTTTTTCTTTTGAATAAAAAGGGCAGTTCGGTGGTAAATATGCCATCAAAGGTATCCCAA